CTGGACACAGTACTCCAGATGAGGCCTCACCAGGGCAGTGTAGAGGGGAAGGAGAACCTCCCTCGACCTGCTGGCCACACTCCTCTTAATGCACCCCAGAATGCCATTGGCCTTCTTGGCAGCCAGGGCACACTGCTGGCTCATGGTTAACCTGTCATCCACCAGGACACCCAGGTCCCTCTCCACAGAGCTGCTCTCCAGCAGGTCCACCCCAAGCCTGTACTGATGCATGGGGTTGTTCCTCCCCAGGTGCACGACCCTGCGTTTGCCTTTGTGGAACCTCATCAGGTTCCTCTCTGCCCAACTGTCCAGCCTGTCCAGGTCACGCTGAATGTCAGCACAGCCTTCCGGTGTGTCTACCCCACCTCCCAGTTTGGTGTCATCAGCAAACTTGCTTTCAGTCTCTTAATACTCCAAATTTTCTTTTTAGGATCTCTGTAAGACTCTCTGGTTTACTACTCGGGCTGCTTCTCATGATTCAGTACAACTTTGAAAGCAGTGTATTTAAAGACCCCTCCAACAGCAGCGAGCCCACAGCCCTGTAGATGAAATGCAACCAAAACAGAGAGTCCCAGCATTACCACCTCTTCAGCATACCATACTGTTATAGGCATAAAGAGCAAAGAAAGATAATCTCCTTCCTCCCGTCACTTTCCTTATAAATACAGATTTATAACTGTTCACAAGGGTCAATAATACAGTTTAGGGAAAAAAAAAGAGCAAACAGTTGATTCTTTTATATCAAAAAAAAGCCCTCAACAAATAAAAGAATCACAAGACTGAAAACATGAAACTTTTTTATATTGTTACTGCATACCTTGTCTGAGTCATGGTTGATCATTTTGACATCAAGTAAGGATTTGATGGTTTTTGTCAGTTCCTTCTCATTCATTTGTGTACTGTCCTGAAGCTCCTTGTAACTGACAGTTTCACTGTTGTTGAAGGCAAGCAACACTGCCATTTGGTATGTTGTGACCATGGCTACATAAGGTTTGCACAAATAATTCATTTTTACTTCACCTGTAATGATACAAGCAGTATTTCATAAACTAATGGAATGTGCTAAAAAGTCACGCAAAGCCTAACCACCAGAGCTCCTCGTGCACTTCCAAGACATTCCGTTCACACCTAAGTATGCATTTAACACTCGGAACGGGAAGATGAAAATCAATGTTGTGAATTTACACATACAGAATGTGGTCTGCAACAAAAATAACTCTGATTAACCATGAATACTAGAACAGTAGTGTTTGCAAGAAAAAAAGAAACCTACAGTGTTGAATTTGAATAATGCAATATAATATATAGTAATTAAAAAGGGAAATTACAAATAGCCTCAACGCATTGCAATGCACAAACTTTAATTAGTAATAGCTTACACAGAATCACAGAACAGTGATTACAGGAAAGTTGTTCTAAGGAAAGACTTAGAAACAAAATAAAAGACTTTTCAGTAAAATTATTCACAATATGCTGATATTCTTTAAATTCCCCTGAAATAAAATAAAATAAAAAAAAGTAAAAAAGCATTGAAGAAATCTGCCTGAAAGCAGGTTCAGATTTTTTGTGTGAAGGTGAGTGTGAGTTAACAGCAACCTTCTATTATCAGAACTAAATGTTCATCACATTATATTGTATGCTAGTCCACATAAGATGTTGTGGTGCTCAGTTCCTAAAGCCTGAAACCGAAAGCATTTGAAATAAAAATAAAATACTGTTGACTGATACTTACTAAACCAAGCTACAATCTTCTAAGATGTTTTTTAACATATAATACAATACAGTAAATAAAAAACGTAAGCGAATATATGTAAGTATTTACTTAGATGCTTACGTCTATGAGTAAAATAGTGTAATATGTATTCTTAAAATTATTTAATATTCATCTAAAGGACATCTGATACTACAGAAACAATTCCAGGGCAATTGTTATTGACTCAGCAGTTCTGCTGCGTTGTTTCGCAGTTAAGAATGTACAATTGTAGTAGTAGTTTTACTTTACATAGATGACATACGCAAGTTTACACAACATAAATTTTGGAAATACTAAGCAACAAATATTAAATTAATTTATAATGCAAAATAAGTCAGATGACTTTATATGCAAAATAATAACCCCAAAGTCTGCTGCCATTTGAAAAGGACTTTTAACAAATAATTGTCAGCTGTATAGAGCAAAAGTTTAGCAAAGCACTTATTTTTACCTGTACAAAGATAATGTAACCAAGTAAGCTTCCTTCCACTAAAATGCTGACTGTAAAACAATTCAAACTGCAAAACAAAATGAACTTCAATTAGTCACACATATAACTACTTACAATAGTTTATTATCACACTACCACTGCAGTGAGGAAATACTGGGTTTATGTTCACCATATTGGATGCAAACATAACAGATCAATTCATGACAGCATTTTCCTTTAGAAGATGGGTAATCTTCTGACTGAACATCAGTAAATGACTGAACATCCGTCATTTACTGGACTACTTGAACTTATTAACCTATCACTTGATGACTAAATCAAAAAGATTGTTGACACATTTATACTTTCAAAGTATGAAATACTACAGTTAAACAGTGTTCGAAAGAAGTATCAACTCTACCGAATTTAAAAGAATTTCCAGGAGGTTTTAGCAGTCAATTTTATTAAGTTTTATTACTCTGTTCTTTCCAATACCATATAAAAACACATGCATTTTTAGTTTTTCACCTTGGTGAAATGATTCTATATTCCATGGCTTTGATGTCCTCTTCAAAATAAATTCAGAAAATCCACTGTACCGTTTTTTTTTTTTTAACAACATCCTTCAAAAAACATAAACTTTTAGTTAACAGGTATTTCCCACAGTAAGATACTCATTCACTTTCATGACAAATCTCATCTTACCCTCCTGAACATATTTTTAGGGGGAATTCCAAAAGAGGAAGCTTGAAAGTAGGCAAAATTTTTGCCACCTTCCAATTTGGGTTCAGGCTACACACAACTACACAGTTTGCAAATGTCTCAGAATCAAGAAGTGAGCACAGATCCCTGAATTTGTGGTGAAACCTTCCAAAACCTCTCTTCACAAAGAAGGACATATTTATGATTTAGACAGTAACATTTCGAAGTTGTGCTGACACCCAAAAACTGAAGCATCCCCTCAAAATCAGTGTTTTAAAAAATTTATACGCACAACTAGCATTAGTAGAAATGCTAATTTCTTCCTTCTTTTTTGAATTTTACATGAATTTCTTGTCATTATAAGAAGCGCTACATCAGTCATTATGGAAAGCAGTTTTTCCTGATATTTAAATTATACGCACACAAATCTATAGCAGAACAGGAATATGAAAAAAAATCACCTCTAAACAAGAAAAGGCCTTAAAAACAACTTTAAAATTCCTCTCTCTAAGAAATGGAAGTTTTTGGTTTTGTATAAGTGAAAGTTAGCTACGCAGTTTGAATTCTGGCACTAAAGGGCACAAATCTGGTGACTATAATGAGATCACTTTCCAGCAGACTCCAGGAATCCAATTCCTGGAAGATTCTTTCAAAGCTATATTTACGTACATTTAAATGTAATTTTCACCAACAGAGAGTAAGAGAAGGAAGGGCTTAAATGACCTGTGGACTGTGATAAGAAAAATGAAATTTACAGGAAGGAGCAAAATCATCTTATTCTCATATTATTTGCAATCCATCAATCCTGCCATTCCTGCAAACCACAAGCAGTGGAGAGAGAATAAGCCCTAGGAAACGAAACGAAGCACTGGATTTTGAAGAACAAATACAGATATTCTAGAAAATTAAAAAAAAACCCCAACTTTTGAGGACGTGGCTTTCAGCTTACTTATATTCTGTGGGCTAAACTGATGCAGAAAAATTACTCTGACAGGAAGGAAAAGAAGAATTTCTCCAAAGACTAAAGTGGAAGTTTGTGGCAAAGCTCGTAAAAACCAGGTTTTATTTTAACATATGTAACATAATAGTCTGATCATTTTGCTTGTATGGAGAAACATAAAAATGGGGATTTTTAGTAGCATCTGAGTAGCTATGGCATTCTCTTGGATTTCCTCTGAAAATAACTGAAATTTGGCTGAAAATCCAACAGAAAAATCAAAATATAAATTTGATCTTAATCCTATGTGTTATCCCTATAGCCAACAGGAACAAATCAGGCTGCATATACTAGCAACTGCCTGCTAAACCTCAGTTTCGGTAACGAAGCTTCTTCTTTTTTTTTTTTAAGAAAAAAATATCAGAAATTCTGCTCTCACCCTTCCCATCCAAAAGAAATAAGACGGTGTGGCTTGCAGACTAATCCTGATTTAAGGTCTAACTACCTTTTGGCAATGAGAAGAACTTATGCAGATTCAAAGCACCAAACCTCCCCATGTAGGGGTGTACACATCAATTTGGCTTACTTTGATTCGATCTGGCAACTCTGATTAACGTCAAAGGAAAATACAAAAAGGGGGACTTCTGACCTCCTTAAGAATCAGGTGTTTCTCCACCCACAAACTTACATACTATGAAACCCAGTATTTGTATACCATTCAAATAAATCTGTATTTATAGGAAGCTCCAGCAGTCTTTGAGCCTGAAAAAGCTGCTAAACAGCTTGCCCAGTTACAGGGGTACTTCCGTACTCTGAAGTGCAACTGCAAGATGTTTTTTTCTTTCTAAATCCTGAGACAACTCTCTCTTCATGGGTCAAATGATCTAATTTGACAGTAAAGACAGTCATTGTCAACTTTTTAAAGACTCCCCAAGGTCATATTGTGTTTCCTCAGGGAATTATGAGTATAATTCGAAGCATCAGTTCTAGCTAGGTGACACATGAATAAGTTTGCTCCTTTGAACTGGCAAAAAAGTTAGAGAAGCAACCCAGACTCCGAGCTGCTTCTGATACACAAGTTTGTCACAATTTTCCAGCTGAGGCACAACTGACGATACTCCTATTTTAAGCCCACAGAGAACAGCAAAATGTCGTCAGTCACCTTCTCTGGTTCCCATAGTATGGTTGGAAACTATTATATTGCTAAAACAAAGTGCCATTTAATACAGCAGAAATAAAAGCAGAATAAATAGTTGTAATACTTAGTAGTAACACATGAAAAGCTCCTTCACCACAGAAACAGACATTATAATTCAGGTCAGACAGTACTTTAAAGTATAAAAACTACTTTAAAAATCTGTTACGTCCAATAATATTTTTATTACCTAACATGTACTTCACCATTCAACACACTTTTGCAAAGATCAACACACATGTCCTGTATTTTAACATAAATATTGTACAGATAACATTTAGAACACAATACAAAGTAATAAACTATTCCATGTAAAAAGAGAATATTTGGCCAAAGTAAAACCTTTACTGCTTTGAGAATTTGCAAAATTAGCTTTAAAGAAGTTTCCATGAAGCTTTCCTTTGAATGGCTCCTATGAAATACAGGACAAGAAACCTGTACCTGCATTTTAATCTGCTATTAAATCTCTTCAGATTTAATAATAGCAATAAAATCTTCTTTTATCTAAATATTAGGAATTGGTTTTAAAGCTAAGAATCAATCCATTTCATCTGACTGTATTTGTTAGTAACTGCCTCATCAATCATGAAGTATAGGAGAGAGATGTGAAAAATAAAGAAAAGCTATGGAAATACATACATAAATTCAGTATGTCATTTGTGTGACTTTTCCAAATTTCATATAGACTGGAAAAAGGATAGCCACGATTTACAAACAGAACGAAGCAGCTGAGCTTCAACAAGGCCAAATGCAGGGTTCTGCACCTCAGTTGGGGCAATCCCTGCTATCAATACAGGTTGGGGAATGAAGGGATTGAGAGCAGCCTAGAGGAGAAGGACTTGGGGGTACCGGGGGATGAAAAGCTGGACATGAGCTGACAACATGCGGTCACTAGCCCAGGTGGCCAACTGTATCCTGGGCTGCATCAAAAGCAGTGTGGCCAGCAGGGTGAGGGAGCGGATTCTGCCCCTCTGCTCCGCTCTGGGGGGACCCCTCCGGGAGGCCTGCATCCAGCTCTGGAGCCCTCAGCATGAGAAATACACAGACCTATTGGAGCGGGTCCAGAGAAGGCCACAAAAATGATCCAAGGGCTGGAACACCTCTCCTATGAGGAAAGGCTGAGGGAGTTGGGGTTGTTCAGCCTGGAGAAGAGAAGGCTGCAGGGAGATGTTATTGCGGCCTTTCAGTACTTAAATGTGGCACTGCGGGATATGGATTTGCATGCATGGTGGTGTTGGGTGATGGTTGGACTTGATGATCTTAGAGGTCTTTTCCAAGCTTAATGATTCTATGATTCTACAAGAAAGACGGGGACAGGCTTTTTAGCAGGGCCTGTTGCAATCGGACAACAGGTAATGGTTTTAAACTAAAAGAGGGCAGATTTAGACTGGATGCAAGGAAAAGATTTTTTACACTGAGGGTGGTGCAACTGTGAAACAGGTTGCCCAGAGAGGTGGTAGATGCCCCATCCCTGGGAACATTCACGGTTTTTCTCTGTTAGAATGATTTTCCACGTGTTTCCAAAAAGCCTCCTACTAACCTACCATCTGTACACTTTTTTCCAGTTCCTGAGGAATTGCAAATGTAGAAGAAGGAGCCTGAGTTAGAGGCCATGCACCAGCCTAAAGGTATCAGGAAAAATAAAAGCGTCAGCATTTTCATACAATATATACAGTAAGAAAAACAAACACTATTAAACAGATCTACACTGTATATTATGTCATAACACGTTCAATTTAGACCAGATTTACCCCTTATTATTTACGACTCATTATGCACGCCCCACTGAGGTATTAATTCAAGACAAGAACACAAGGCATTTTACATCCCTATTGTTTAGTGTGTTAGTGGGTTAATTTTAAAAAGAAAAACTAGGAAAATTAACTATTCCACAATCATCACAAGGTGTCAGGTTCTATATGAGAATATTCATAGTCAGAAAATTCGTTCACTTATCAAAACATAAAAATTAAGTACAAATAACTCAATAGTAATAAACATACATTAGTACCTGTAGAACATATATCTGAAAACTAATTCCCAAATCTATAATCGTGTCCTGGTTTTTGATAAAGTTGTTGAATTTATTGTTGAGATCAGCACTAACACTCATGTCTGTATACATTCGATGAAGCTTGCTGGTAAATTCATAACCACAGGCTTGCTGTGAAGAAATATTGTAACAGGTTTCACAAAGAAAACAGTACTTGTTATACAAACTATGCACATTCACTACTAAAATATGAAAATCTAGCCAGCAGAAATGTTGTTAGAATATTTACAGAGAACACTAGCTACAACAGAGGACAAACACTATAAAAGAAAATTATCAGATTTATCTTAGCTTCACTTTCTGTACACTGATTTATATGAACAATGTTATTGTATAAAATTGAAAGGTAAGAGCGAGTTTATGAAAGTACTTGGTACTTTTTAATGTAAATACGCATTATTTGAACACACTTAGTAAAACTACCCAAAACCTCATAAAAATCGAAAATGCCAAAGTGATACTGGGCCATATGTCTTTCATAGACTACCAAGAAATCAGTTTTTCCTTTCAGCTATTGGAAACAGTTTCTAGTAATCGCTAAGTTCTCTCTGGTACCCTCTGCTGTTCCCTTTCAACATTGCATACTCCTATGTTTATTCTGCATTAGAAGAATATTACATTACCTTTAGTTTATTAATCATGGCTTCTTCAGAATCCATAGACATTGACAAACCATGAATTAACCTTTTTGCCAACATTCTGGCATAGAACTGCATTAAAAAAAATCAGATATGAGGATTTTTAAAAGCATAACCACATTCTTCGGATATACTTCAAATGTAACATTTTAATGTTTACTGAATATCAAAAGTTACCTTTTGGAATACATCTTTGTCATCAATGTATTTGAAAACAGTAATGAAACTTGTAAGTTTGTCTTCTACTTCATTCTCCGTCATTCCTTTTGCTGATTTCTTCAACAAGTTGTCACAGTACTTGGCCAGCTCAAGTTAAAAAAAGAAAAACAAACCCAAACCTACTTGTCAAGCTTGAGAACAAATGCATGCCAAGGTATTCCAAACTTCTACGCAAAAGTTAAAGCATGAAATAAGTCACAGTCTACAGTCTCATGTTCTATTACAAGGGCTGTATTCATAGGTAAACAATACATACTACATCCACACCAAATACAAATTCTATACCAAAAGCTACAACTGCACCCATTTTGCACACCCACAAAATGTGTGTGCAGGTTGTTATTTATTACTACTGACATACAAACCTGTGGCTGACTTCATATGAAAAATGGATATGCATGTGAGGGATCCTATGCCAATTCATTTGACAGTTATAAAAAAGTATAATTACTGTCTACCATAATATACATCACTTACCAACTCAGGTGCTTTGCAGATCGACTTGGGCTCCCTATAGTTAACTACTGATGTCAAAGCCTACATAGGAACAGAGAGCAAAGAGAAAAAAACATAAACTACTTAAAACTTTTTCTTTTATGAAATTTAAAGAAATCAAAAAAAGTCCAGGGCAAAGACGATCCAAGACCCTATAAAACTGAACTACACCAAAAGGGATCAGAAAAGAAACAATGAATAAAAGGGTTTGAATTACTACTCTGTTCGAATTTGTTTTGAACATTTTTAAGTTGAGATTTAAGTAAAAGTGGAAAGAGTCGAGGAACAGATGTCAATTGCAGAAAGCAGGGGCACAAATTAAGTTCTGATTAGAAACTTAAACGTAAAAGTATGAAGATTTTGGTATACAGCAATATGTACAGTCCAGAAGTACGGATGGAAAGAAACTGAGGAATAATTGCAGATAAAGCAGATTTGAGCAGCAGCACATCAACAGCAGCTTACATCAACAGCATGTATCTTGAGATCAAAACACACGTGGCATGCTCACAACAGTAAGAAAGGAAAGATCTTTTGGTGTTGCAATTTTTAACAGACTAAAGAGGAGAAAAAAATACTGTTGAAAGTGGACATCCAAAGCAGTGCAGTACAAAAAATACGGTAGCTGAAGAAAACCTGAATATGAGGAAAAAGAAAGGAAGGAGATAATGGCAGTTTAGAAGTGGAAATTGTAAACAAAGACATCAGAATCATCAAGATTAGTTTCTAAACTACATATCCCATTCAAATTACCCTTTTAAAATAACGCTGAATGAAAAATATTGCATGACCACAGTTCCTAGCAATTATCGTTCCTTTTATGGAAGGAAAACATTATTATTATTATTATTATTATTACGAACCGACAAGTAATTATTTTGTACAATGCCTCAACATTCCAATACTTGATAACAGGTCCCAAGAATGCCTGTGAGAAAGGAATGCATGACTTGACATGAAATATTAAACCCTTTGCAGCTTAGAGCAGTCTTTTGCAATAGTACTGGAGGCAAGAACAGCAGTTTTGATATCCACCATGAAAAACTGACAGCAGATTAAGATTTCAAATATGTATTGTAATAAAGACCACTGCAGTGAAGAATTGATGTATTTATGGAAAAAGTACATCGTCTATGTGCTAGGAAATGGAGTCGTCAGTCTCGTATTACTCCACCTTCTGGTCCATCACATTAACTGCAACTGAGGTAGAAATGTATTAGGGCACTGAAACAAGCATTCATTTTAAAATACTCAATAATTATTTTCTCAATATCACAAATACAGATGGGTAACTACTATTGATATTATCACTGGTATCTTTATCACTACGTCTTTCCAGACTAACCTTGGCTGAAAATTATCAAAGCTTAGACTATGACTCTAACTACATGCTGCAATTACAGTAAATACCAGAAAGGAGCAATGAAACACATGCTTCCTATGACAGGAAATTATAGATAGTAAAGCAGTAAATGCAATCTCTAGAAAAAAGCTACACGGACATAT